AGGGAAAAATGTAAGAAAGAAGAACATCAACTCAAACTATCATTTCTACACATTTTTTTTCAGGTATCACATACCAAGATCTTTCCTCAAACCTACAGACAACCTCTTAGTATTATTCGAAGAAGAAGAAAAAGGCGATCCTACAGGCATAACAGTCGATACTGTCTCGGTTACTAAAGTATGCGGACACGTTAAATCCTCTCATCCGCCACATGTCACCTCATGGATAAGAGAAAATCTATACAAACATAAGTACCAATCTACGTACGAAAAGCGCCACAGAATAACTAAGCCTAAAGTCCGGCTCTACTGCCCTCTTAATAAATATATCTCGAAAATTATATTCGCCAGTTTTGGAAGCCTTACGGGTGGTTGTGGTAATTATACGATTGGCAGCTGTCGCTCGATCAATTCCAGAGCCGTTGTGGAGAAGGTGAGCTTCTCTTTTCGCATTTTTTTTTTCACTTGTTTTGTTTATTTATTTATTTTCCATGCATTACCAAAAAAAAAAGGATCAATTATATAATTAATGACAATCACAGGCTTGTTTATGGAAGAAAAAGTGTTCTGTTCCAATGTCATACCAAAGATTTGGAGGGGACCCGTGCCCGGGAGTTGAGAAAGATCTGCTGATTGAGGCACATTGCGAATAAATTACCTAAGTTATATATCTTGTTATAACCGAAAAAAAATAATAGTTTCAAACCAGGCAACACATACATATACAAACTAATTATTACAAGCGAACAGCAATGTGATCTAAAGATGGAAATTGTACACAAATGTCTTTATGAAATTCCGAATAAATGTAATTAGTGATAAGTCCCTGTTGTTCTACTATTTATGTTATATCTTATGCTTTGCGTATACCTAATTAACAGTAGCTTATAATAATCCATATAAAAGGATGCTAAAGGTATATATTGAAATGGCAGATAGAACCAGTCAAACCATCATCCTAAACAAAACTTAGGTAAAGGGATACTGAAAGAAAACAATAAAGTTAGAATCTTGCTCTAAACCCATAAA